AGCAACTGAAACAAATCAGCAGCAACATGAAACAGATCAGCAGCAACATGATGTGATTTTTCACAGTGATTATTCTGGTTAGAGATTCATGAGTCTAACAGCCTCAGGGTAGAAGCTATTCCTCAGTCTAGTGGTTCTACACTTAATGCTCCTTAACCTCCTTCCTGAGGGAAACAGGGCAAAAAGTGTGTGCTGGGTGAGTGGGGTCCCCCACGATGCATGAGGCCCTCTCCCTGCATCTAGAGGTGCAGATGTTTGTGATGGTGGGGAGGTGGACCCCAATAGACCCCTGTGCAGCCCCCACCACTCCGCAAAGTTTCTCTCCCTGCAGCTGTGCAGCCTCCACGCCACATGCAGACACTGGAGCACAGGATGCTCTCCACTGCACACCTGTATAAGGAGGTGTGAGGACTGCGCCCCACCCCCCAGACAAGCCTGCCCCAGCCGCCTGAGGAAGCAGAGTCTCAGATGAGCCCTCCCGATCAGGCTGGCAGTGTTGCCACCCCAGCCGAGGCCGTCATCCAGGTGCTCACCCAACCCCCAGCCGAGTACCACCTCCACCACAGATCCTCCCACGCTTTGGGGGTGTGGTAGGTGTGCCTGCTCCCTCCGAAGTCCACGATCATCTCCCCATCCTCCCCACACCGATGTGAAGGCTACCCTTCCTGCACCAGCTCTAGGTGCCCCCACCCCCCCACCCCCCCGCAACATTTGCGGTGGTGGTGGAGTGCAACATTTAGAAATCTGATGTTTTAAGACGACAGCAATCCCATTTGTTTTAGCTGTGCTCAGACAAGCTGTTTATAACAGATGAGATAGTATTTATGGATTTTAAAAAGCCTTCAGACTAAACCTGCCTGTAGAATGCATAATTTAAAAGAACAGAAAATGCTAAATAAGTGAGATGATTAAACCATTAAACATTGATTTACATTACCAGAACCACCTTCTTCCACTTGTAATATCACTAAAATTAGAAACATATTATCTAAAAATGATGCAGAAAAACTGATCCACATATTTGTCACGTCTAGACTGGACT